CGTTGAAAATGAACTAGTTTTTTTATAATGACAACTTGCTTCTGTGATTAATATGGATCATCTTTGGCTACTCTATAACTTCTGCATTCTCTTCATGCTTAATCTGAAATATTTGATCATGTGCATCTTGACAAATCAAGTGAATCTTACAGAATGTCCAACTTATAATATCACAGGATTTTTTAGATCAAGTTCTGATTAATTTAGTGTTTCCTTTCTTAGGCCAAAGTAGCATGCCTTAGTTGGAAAGCTTTTCAGTTGCTTAAAAAAGAAGAAAGCTAGGGCCGATATGTGTTTGCTTACTTAAAAAGAAAGTTGCAAACAAATTCTTTGGTGTTGTGTTTCTTGATTCTGTATTGTAGTCATGAGCTCCTTGGTTCAATCTTGTAGGTATATTAGTTTAATTTGCTTAGAATGTGTCATGTTATTCATTTCCACATCTAAATCTTGGGCTTGTGCATATCTTTGTTATGGTACAGTCTAGCTAGTTGGTTGTTGAAAGCATTTGGTTGACTAAGAGTGCCCTATTATTTGCAGTTTGGAAACCTGCCTTATGGATTTCGTGCAAACACATGGCTTGTGCCTCCAGTTGCTGCTCAGTCACCAGCCACATTTCCTTCCCTTCCTGCTGAGGATGAAACTTGGGGAGGCAATGGAGGTGGTTGGTTTCAGGACAGTAGAAGTGATATGATGCCTTGGGCAAATGAGTTCCTTTTTCTTAAGTCCATGCCATGTAAGACAGCAGAAGAGAGACAAATCCGTGACAGAAGAGCTTTCCTGCTTCATAGCCTATTTGTAGACGTTGCAATACTAAGAGCTGTTGCAGCTGTAAAGCAAGTTATGGATGAAAGAAAAAATGCAGCTACAGTTGGCGTAGATGAAATCTTACAGTTTGAGACAGTGGGGGATTTTAGCATCACTGTCACTAAAGATGCTTCAGATGCAAGCTGTAAGGTGGATACAAAGATTGATGGAAGTAAAACAACTGGTATTGATGCCAAACATCTCACTGAGAGGAACTTGCTAAAAGGAATCACATCAGATGAAAATACAGCAGCTCATGTATGGAATTTTGATCTTTTAAAGAAACCCTACCACAAAAGTGTCTTGTCTTTGATGTTATGTCTTGTCTTATATGTTTAATGTCAATTGACAAATTTGTGGCTTGAGATTAGTTTCTGTTTTTTATATTTTTATTGTTAGTGAACAAATTTGTGGCTTTCAACCGCAGGATATCGCCATGTTGGGGGTTCTTAATGTGCGATACTGTGGTTATATCACCGTTGTGAAAGTCAAGCATCATGAGAAAAGCGAATTGGATTTACCTTTGCAAGGTGTTGAAATTAAGGATCATCCTGAAGGTGGTGCAAATGCTTTGAATGTTAGCAGGTAAATAGCCACAATTACATACTCTGATTTCATTCATATAAAATAGTTTTTGCATACTTCATTTCGTTGAAGATATTATTTGTTATTCCAGTCTGAGAATGCTACTTCACAAAAACCATACACCAAGAGAGAAAAGATTATATAATCATCTACAGAGTTCAAGGCATGAGGAACTCTCTGCAGCAAAAAAAATTGTGGAGAAATTGTTGAAGGATAGCCTAGTGAAGCTTGAGGAGGAGGAAGCTGAATGCAATGTTTCAGTAAGATGGGAACTGGGAGCTTGTTGGATACAGCATTTGCAGGATCAGAATAATGGTGAGAAAGACAAGAAACAGGCCAGTGAAAAAGACAAAAAACAAATTACGACGAAGACAAAAAGTGAGATAAGAGTTGAAGGCCTTGGGAAACCTCTTAAAATTCTTAAAAATCCAAAAAAGAAACCAGATTCTGATGAAGAAAAGACTTTAACCATTGACAGGAAATCATCTGATGAGATGCATGAAAAACAGAATACGAAGTTGCCTATCAAGGAACCTAAGGCAGAAAGCAAAGAAACTGAGAATTCTTACAAGCTCAAAGATTTGTTACCTGAACCTGTATATACAAGGTTGCTAGAATCTAATACTGGACTTCATTTGAAGGTATGCACAAGTCACATGAATATATGCAGGTTATGCTTTATTTCAGGTGTATGTTCTGATTTTTCTACTGCTATCTCAGGTGTTGATTGTCAGTTGCAAATTCATGTCTTACTATTACAGAATTAGTAACTTTTTTGTTTATTCTAAAGTTTCAGTTCTGTTGTACATATGTACACTTATCTGGGCTATGTGTCATTAGGTAATTCCTGTCTATGTCACAATTACTCCTAAATAACATGTAAATTTATTGTCTCTCTGTGTATCAACTTAACTTACATAGAAACATATATTAAGATTACAATTAATTTGAAGATGAGAAGCTGATCTATTATCATGATCAGTCTCCACAGGAATTAACTGAGATGGCAATGAGATATTATGATGAAGTTGCTCTCCCAAAGTTGGTACGCCTGAGTACAATTTTTTCATATTTAATTCATTATTTTCTGTTTTAGTATGGAATGATGGTTAATGAGTATTATTTGTACCTTGGCATGTATTCAGGTCTCAGATTTTGGGTCATTGGAGCTATCACCTGTTGATGGTCGTACTCTAACTGATTTCATGCATACAAGAGGTCTAAGAATGCGCTCTCTTGGGCAAGTTGTGAGTCACCTTTAGCTTGAAGAGGCTGGATATATCTTTACTTTCACAAAGTATTTTTCCTAATTATATTAAATGCAATATTATGTACAATATCTGTCAGGTCAAGCTTTCAGAGAAGCTGTCTCATGTTCAGTCACTCTGTATTCATGAGATGATAGTAAGGGCTTTTAAGCATGTTGTACGAGCTGTGATTGCTGCTGTTTCTGATACTGGAGATTTATCTATATTGATGGCTGCAACACTTAACATGCTTCTTGGGCTTCCTGATTCTGGTGTTTCACATTCTGCTATACATGTGCACTTTCTAGTCTGGAGATGGCTTGAAGTATTTCTAAGAAAGCGATATAACTGGGAACTTACAATCTCAAACTATAATGATATAAGAAAATATGCTATTTTAAGAGGGTTATGTCACAAGGTAATGATCAATTTTCATTTCTGTAAATGATATTTAATTTTCCTTTCATCTTACATGTTCAATTTTATTAGGTGGGAATTGAATTGGCACCCAGAGACTTTGATATGGATTCAAATTTCCCCTTTGACAAATCAGATATCATCAGCCTTGTACCTGTGCACAAGGTAAAGCTGCTAAGATGGTCTTATTTGAAATATGTTATCTACCATAATGTATCTTACATTCCTAGTGCTTTTGAATCTTTTGCAGCAAGTTGCATGCTCATCTGCAGATGCACGACAACTTCTAGAATCTTCGAAAATGGCACTTGATAAGGGTAAACTTGAAGATGCAGTCAACTATGGAACAAAGGTAATTTGTCATAAGATATTGTACAGGTTAACTTCTTTGTAAAGACCTTTTTTCTCTTTCATTTGCTTTTGGTATGAAGGTGTAGTTGGATGCAGGCTCTGGCAAAATTAATTGCAGTCTGTGGTCCTTATCATCGGATGACTGCTGGAGCCTACAGTCTTTTAGCTGTTGTTCTCTACCATACTGGTGACCTTAATCAGGTAGCTTTCAGATATTTGTGTCACTGAAGGCCATGGTTCTTATGAGTTATGATATGGACTTATGGAGTATCTTTGCCATGGTTCTCTCTTTTCTGATATCTTAAAAGGAACCTTGTTAAATGGTCTATTTGAGTAAGACAGAGCAGATCAATTATGTTTTTACCAATCCAATGTAAAAAATACACCATTATGGACAATTTAAATTTGCCAAGTCCAACGATCTGAAATTTGGAGAATTGTAATGTAAAGTTTGTGTCATGGGTGATTATGTTCCGAGTGATTGAAACAGTTTTTTGTAATTCATTGACATGTAATTCTGTTGGAAATTTAGTTGGTAGCTAATTTATGCCTTGAATATGTGCATGCAGGGTCATGAGGTTGAAACAGATCAAAGAGCGATAAACCACAGTTCAATATTTTAATACAGCATTTGTGTTCCTGACTTGTGTCCTCTTTTAGTAGATCAATGTCTAATTCTAATTGGATTTATCTGTTTTTTAATGGCTTTTGCAAAGATCTGAATCGAGTTAAACCATGAAACAGTATTCTACCACTATGGTTTCTTACGCTAAGATGAATATTATGATATGCTATATGGTGTTTTTTACTATTTAAAATTTTCTATATCACTTCAATTATTAGGGATGACTTTTAGGAACTTTCTGTTATAAATTTTGAACCTGTGCTCCTGTCTTTGGCTGGGATTATACTAAATTATTGCAACTTTTAGGCCACAACTTATCAGCAGAAGGCATTGGACATAAATGAGAGGGAGCTTGGATTGGATCATCCAGATACAATGAAGAGCTACGGCGACCTTGCTGTTTTTTACTACAGGCTTCAACATACTGAATTGGCTCTAAAGTAAGTTCTATTCTTATTTGTTGTAGTATCAAATCTTATATAGTGTTCTTTTGATTGGGAATTCTAATATCTTGAATTATTAGATATTCCATCTTTTGTTTTTATAATGACTTGAACACTGGTACTGTCTTATAAGATATTATTGCAGTATCATATATTAGGATTCGAGGAGATATAAACTTAGAATTAGTGCCTCTTCTAGATAGAAAAAAAAAAGACTTTTGGCAGGTAACAGTCAAAATTTTTTAACTATGTTATTTGCATGAAATGATCTTGAGGAATTAATACATAAAAGTAGAAATTTTAGTCTTGAATTCTTGATTACCAAACTAAAAAGATGGTTTCGCTTAAAACAACATTCTTAGCATAATACTTGTAATGTTAAGGATAAGCCTTTCTTTTACTATAAGCATTTGAAAAGAAGTTTGTAAGTTATTCAGCATGAATGCAATGATTCAGATATTTGTACAATTTGTTCATTGTATATCATGCCTCCAAGCACATGTAAAAAAGGTCTACATGTCAGAAGCTATTTAATAATGTAAGCCTTCTAACTATGACAAAGAAAGCTTTATGATATTAATTAGTTAAGGATAGAGCTTTAAACATACAGAGTTTGGCATAGGAGTACCATGGCAACAAAGTATTTAGAAAAATTTGCATCTATATCTTTTCTTATGTTATTCTTTAAAAGCTTAAAGAGTGACAAATGGTTTATCAAACTTACCAGCATTGTAAAAATTCAGGTTCCTCCAGTCCACTGTGACCATCTTATGATAGAGAAAAAACACATCAGAATTTTGGTTGGAGAAAGAAGATAGCTCCATTAATATCACATGATAAGTTATAACATGGATTTATTAGCCAAATGATGAAGAGGAAACTTAAAAATTTGAACACTTAGTCTTGTGGAAGGAGATCGAATAGGTTCTTGTCATAGGCTTGTCAAGAGACCAGACAAATTTCATAAAGTTTCTCCCATTTTTCTTAATCTAGTTGGGGAATAAATTTTTATGGCTGTTGACAAAGGCCATTGTTCTATTTTAGTCTCATGTGTGACATGGCTTGAGTGTTTTCTCTGTTTGGTCAGTGCTCATTTTTAGCTTGTGTTTTGAAGCACTGAGGTTTATATTCTTGATGTGTCATCATGAGGGTTGGTTGATATGACCGGTTAAACAGAGAATTTTTTTTACAGGCCAATGAAAAACTTAATATTAAAGCTTCCATGACACATATCTGTCTTATGGTTTTGGTTATGTCTACTCTATTATTATGCATATTAGCTAAAATATGTGAAGATGACATTTTCTTCATTTTTTTGCCACAAAGAATTTAGCTTAATTTGAGAACAATGGCTTTCTAGATTTAACTTTAATATTTACTTCATACCTGAAAATTAATGTGTGCATAAAAAGTTGAAGCACAGAAACTAACAGAAATTAAGCTTCTTACTTTCCAGGTTAGTATTGTTATGTTTTGGTGTTTGTATTGGAAATAATAAGCCAGGACCATGCTTCCATTATATGTTATTTACCATCACCCTTAATTTTTCTCCTGTTAATTGTTAATCAGGTATGTGAAACGTGCGTTGTATCTTTTGCATCTTACTTGTGGACCATCTCATCCAAACACAGCTGCTACATATATTAATGTGGCTATGATGGAGGAAGGTCTGGGAAATATACATGTGGCACTTAGATATCTTCATAAAGCTTTGAAATGCAATCAAAAGTTGCTTGGTCCTGACCACATTCAGGTTTGTTTTTGTTCTCAAATTCTGTTTCTTCTTGTGTCTTTTTATTTCTGAAGTAGTCATAGCATTCTTTTAAGATAAGCAGCTGATGCTTATTGTAGTTCGGTGTTAGAAATCATAAATTATTACAATAATTGGTTAATGAAGTCCCACAGAAACATTATTAATTACTTTGAGATGATAAGGCATGTATTACAAAGTGACTTCCAGCTAGTTCACCCCTAATTTGCTCACCTAGTGACCTGGATAATTAGGTGATCTAGAACCCCTTATCTATTGACCTTCTGCAGTATGGGAGAGGGCTTTGCCAAAGAAGTTAGCAGGTTTAACTTTCAGCAATCCATATAAATTAGAAGGAGCATCATTGGCCTGTTATCAAGGGGTTCAGTTATATGCTTCATTAGACAATCTCTGGAACCCATTAGCCAAAGTTTGCTACACACATTATTATTCTGCCCTAACAAGAGTACACCATTCTCGGTCATGCAACCAAGATTTGTTATACATAAGAAAATGGGGCAGCAATTCATTCCTTTTTAATTTGTTAGTTTGGGTTTGAACAAGTACATACAAGCAAAATCAGATGAGCTTAAAAACTATCATGTGGTAGAGTACAAAAGGTTTTGGGATCTAAAAGAAAAGAATTGCTTTCATATCAAAGGTCATCTGGGATGACCTAGTCAGCTTAATACCTAAGCGAACTCATTCACTCTATTTTCTCTCTAACCTCTTCTTTCTACTCAACATGAGGAAACAATCATTTCCAAGTTCAAAATGGGCATTCCCTTTTGGATACTCTATTATATTTTGAAACACAGGTTACTTGACAAATAAAAAGTTCAATATCTCTAGATGCATTCCATATCCATACTCTAGTGGGACATCTAGTTTGGCTCCTTTGTGACCTCTGAAATGTACGAGCCATACCTTTCTACTTGTGGGGGTAAGGCTGCGTACATTGTCCCTCCCAGATACTGAATTAATGTGCGAGTGTTAGAGTGTTAGGCTGCCACTTTGTATACACCTCCAATATTTATTAGAGCTCACTATCTTCTAGATATGTCCAAGGGTACTTTCTCGAACACTTTGTAAGTCACTAGTTTATATTTTATTATCGATTGGGAAGAGCTCATTATTTTATCATCTTTAATAGTTCATTGTTCTAGAAAGTAGATGGGGGTTCACAAAGCATAGTCTATGGAACATAGATTTGATTTTGACTGTTAACTTTTACATTATTCTCTTTTCCTTACAAGTATATCAATATAAGATTTTGTTCTAAAAGGTGTTTTACAATGTACTGCACTAAGATGCTTGTCAACACTTTTTTTCTTCCCATCCATCATTCAGAACTGTATATTTTCTTAAAGCAAAAATATGAGAGTTCATTGTATACATGATTTTGCTGCCGCATACACTCTGTCTTGTGTCTCACTCTTTCAAAAATTTCCTTGTTCCCATATCTTTGTCTTGTTATTTTCATTTCATTGCAAAACCAACACCAATTGTTTCCAACTATGTAAGGGAAAAAATTGCATCTCCGTTTTATTGTGTTCTTGTATGGAGATGGTACACACACAGACATGATGTAGATGGACATACATAGGAACACAAAAATAATGGACACTAGCTGCATGTGTATGTGGAATGAAGTGGTTTTTTTGTCTCGAAACAGTCTCTTTTTTCAGAAAAAGAGCTTCTGATACTAACTGGCCTTTTCAAATTAGTCCTCTGATTGGCTCTCTTATGATGACATGAAAGTTAATTTTTGGCAGATAAAAAACCTATCAACTTTATAGTATAATGATAATATCTTTTCCAGGTTTGCCTGTGATAAACCAGATTTATAATTTCATTGAATGATCTCACACTAACTATCTTTTAACTTTCAATGTCTGATGTAAGTAGTTCCATTATTATTTTTTTGCATTGGGTGGTAGACCTTATTTTATTTTTATATGAAGAGTATTAGGTATATTATATATATAATATATGTATCTAATTTTCTACATTACATTAGACCGCGGCAAGTTACCATGCGATAGCTATTGCACTATCCTTGATGGAAGCATATCCTTTGAGTGTTCAACATGAGCAAACAACATTACAAATACTTAGAGCAAAGCTTGGTCCAGATGACTTGCGTACTCAGGTGATTTACGCATATCTTTATATGGAGAGACATCAATAAAACTTTTTTTTTCTTAATTCTGCATGGATTTAGTTTCTTGACTCACAAAGTTGCCATTTGATTTCGCAGGATGCTGCTGCCTGGCTTGAGTACTTTGAGTCAAAGGCTATTGAACAGCAAGAAGCTGCTCGAAATGGTACGCGGAAGCCTGATGCATCTATTGCCAGCAAAGGCCACCTGAGGTACAGCAATAATTGCAGTGATTAGGTTTAACATGCTTTAGGTCACAAATACTGTGAGCATGCTCACTCTGCACTTATTGCTGATATACCTGATCTATATAACGTCATCCTCGTGCACTAAAATTAATATTTTCATTGACTAGATATGCCAAAACTGAATTTTCTATTTCTACTAAAATGATGAATATCCTATGCAATTGTTTATTCTGCTTGGCAGTGTGTCTGATCTCCTTGATTTCATTGATTCCAACCAAGACGGTAGAGGAAGAGATGCTGAATCCCTGAAGAGGAAGAATCTGGGTTTAAAGGTATGTTTATAAGATTTTATCTTGTTTAAATACTTCTGAGAATCTAATTGTGTATTTATGTTCGGTCATGTTGGCTGACATGTTTAATATATCCGCTCGCTACCTGAATGTTTTTTTATACCTTGTTGAGTGCATGCCTGCACTATGTTGGCTTGGCATATTCCTGTGCAAATTCATGGCAGTCAGCATATATCATGTTGGTTTTCTTGCGAAATTAATCTCCTGAATCTAATTTAGTGGTAGATTGAATCGATGTCAAAGGCAACATTTATAGAGCCAATAATTTCATGCTAACTTTGGTGGTGAATTAGGTCTTAGATAGTATATAGTTTAACAGAATAACCTAATTTATAGCAAATATCAAGTTAGTCACTTGAAATAATTCAACTTGTAATTAATTTTTGCATCTAAATTAGTGGTAAACTGAATAAATTTTAAACTTAACACTCATAGAGCCAATGGTTTCATGTAAATATTGGCAATAAATCAGGTCTAACATAATATAGTGAGCAAACTATGCTAATTTATAACAAGCAACTAACAAGTTACTCACTTCAAATTTTTCAAATTGTACTTAGTTTTTACATTCAGCTCTTGCTGCCTGCTACCAACCACTTGATTATAGGCATGCATTTATTTTACCTTGTCTGCCCAGCTTCTGGTTCAAGAAGATACTACCTTATTGCTATATAACCTGTCCAAGTATTTGAAAGGGAGTCCAACTGAACCTAGAAAACAGAAGTAGATCCTCACTCTTAATTGTTGTGCATGTGGATAATCAAAATACTCAAGCTTTATGTATCAGTACTAGAAAAATATTTTTGAGAAACATGTCCTACATCCAGCTAGTCTTCAAAATCATGATGTTAAATGAGAATTCGCTGCAAAGGCCATACTGTTTTTGCATAACAGTGTCCTTTAGTTATTTTTTATTGGCAATGAACAATATTTTCATAGTTTCAGAATTCTTCTAGTGTTTGATACTTTATGTTGCAATTATGGCAACATAAACCAACTTATATTAACTAGATGCTTATGCATTCTTTAATTAAAATCAAAATGTATTCCAGATTATTTAAAGTATTAAAAAAATATATTTTTGTGTTACTGGGCAGTTTTTCTCTCTGTACTAAGATGCTAATGTAGTTGCTGAAAGAAATTGATGATGAATCAGACACTTAACCTATAAATGGAGCCAATACTAATGCTTGTACAATTCTTGTTACCTTTTCTTCTGCTTGTTGAATTCTTTTTTCATTTTTTTCTCAATTTAATGAACATAAGAATGTTAACCTTTTTATTTTTGAATTTAAAGTTTCTTAAAAAAATTTAATTGGAAGAGCTTCACTTGGTTTTCCTTTTATTGCAAAAACCAAGCAATCATTTTTGTACTGATTCAGGTCAAAGTGCAGTCATCTCAAAACTTGAACGTGGCAGATTCTTTGTCCAAGGATTCAGTAGCTACTATTTCAGATGAAGTGAAACAAGTGACTGATGGTAGTGATACCCAAGATGATGAGAACATGAGTAGTCCAGGTGTTGAGTCAAAACATGAAGATGCTGTTGCCAAAAGGCAGTTATTTGTTTCTCAACAATCTAAAGGAACAGCAGAGCAAAAGGTTGCTTCTTTTAGTGAAGATGTAAGAGAGATAAATACAGAAGCAGAAGATGGTTGGCAACCTGTTCAAAGACCAAGGTCCATCGGAGGTTCAAGCCAGCGAATCAAGCATCAACGTACAAGCACCTGGAAAACCTACAACTATCAGATGAATGATGTTCCTAGTGAAACTGTTCAATCCAAGCCACAGTTTTCTTATTTAAATAATGGGTATTATTTTCTTAAGAAAAAGATAGTTATTCCTGGAAGCTTTAATGGCAATCTTAACATGCAAGTTCAGTCACCAGACACCAGATCTGGTCAGAAGGCGTATAAGGCTGTAACTTATCGGGTGAAGTCAGTGCCTTCATCCACCAATCCTGAGATCAGTCATAACTCTTGGAGTGCTGTCGAAAGAACGACTGCCCCATTAGATGCTCATGCACCCTATTATCGCCATGATAGCCAGGTATTAGAGAATCAGAAGAACCTAATAGGTGGTGTCTCTGAGCCTCGCAACAATTTGGTTCTTAGTTTTAGTAATTCTCCATCATATAAAGATGTAGCACTGGCACCTCCTGGAACAATTGCCAAGATACATAGCCGAAAGTTTCAGGAGAATATGCCATTGGAACAAGAGTTGTCTATTGGTGGCAATGCATCTGAAATAAAGGAATCATTTTTGGCGGAGGAACATACAGAAAATGCTGCAGAACTACCTGAGATATCTAACATAACCCAAGAAAAGGACACTGTCCAGGATGTGTTTTTAGACTCAGATAAAAAAGTTGAAGTTGATCATGAAGAAGAAAGAAAGGAAGATTGTGAAACAGAACAATTACTAGAACCATCATCTTCTGATTTGGAAGTGGCATCTTGTAGTAGCATGCTCACCAAGAATATCATTGACAATTGTGTATCTAGCAATGAGGTTCAAGGAGTTGAGCAAAATGAGAATCATGATCAGAATTTGTCAACAAATACATCTGATAGGAAAAAATCTGAGTGTCCCATCACTGCAGAAAGCAAAGAAGATAATCATGACGAAGCCTCATGTACCAATGTTGGTATCAGTTCTTACTCTAGTGTCCATCAATTCAATTTCAAGAAGGTTCTCATCCCTGAGAAAACAGGTGGTGATTATCCCACGATGGAACTACCACCTTCTAATTATGATGGGAGAGAGGTATCTAGCAAGAAGCTGTCTGCATCTGCTGCACCGTTTAGCCCTTTCCCTGCTACAGCACTTGGTCCTGTTCCTGTAACTGTTGGTCTTCCTCCTAATGGTACAATTTCTGCAGTTACACCATGGCCACTGAGTGCCAGTCTTCATGCTTCACCCACGGCTGTAATGCCAATGGTGCCTCCTATTTGTACCTCACCGCATCATCCTTATCCTTCTTCACCTAGGCCTTCCCACATTCTACGTCCCTTGCCATTTATATATCCACCATATACCCAACCTCAAGTCATTCCAAATACCACTTTTGCTATGAACAGTAACATGTTTCATGGAAACCATTATCCATGGCAGTGCAACATTGGTGCAAACGTTCCTGACTTTGCACAAGGATCAGTATGGTCTGGTTCTCATCCTGTGGACTTCTCATCTTTGCCACCCATCATTAGTCCAACTTCTGAATCCGTGTTGGAACCAATTATAACATCTCATTTAAGAACTGATGTGAGTCTAGACCTTCCATCGGATAACAATACTGAAGAAGGGACCAAAACAGAAGAGAATAATGAGATATCCCAGATTATAGACATTTGTAAACCGCTGGATGGTAACTGGTTAGAGAAACAGGAATCTGAAGAATCTCACAGAAATAATACAAAAATTACTGACTTGGAATCTGAGACGGTTTTCAGACAAGATGCACAGCATAGTGGTGGAAGGCATGTCTTCAGGAGTAGCAAAAAGTATGAGGGTGAGGGAAGCTTTAGCATATACATCAAGGGTAGAAATCGCCGTAAACAGACACTAAAGCTGCCTATAAGTTTGCTCAATAGGCCATATGGATCACAGTCATTTAAAGTTATATATAGCAGAGTAGTAAGAGGAAGTGATGTTATAAGTGCAACAAATATATCTTCCAGTGAAAATGCTACTTCCGACTAGTCACAAGCAAAGAACATTACAAACTTCAAAAAGGGCAGGAAAGAATTTTTTTTATTGTTCAAGCCACATCCAGGAGGACGTGACTCTGAAAAATTAGCAATGGTGATAATTTAGTTATTGCTATTTTTCTGGCAACTGATTTTTTTTATTAAGAAGCCAAGATTGAACTTTCAGGAAGGTAAGTGACAAATCTCCTCATGGTCCAAGCCAGGTATTTCTTTGTTAATTAGCTTCACAATGTTACATAACTCGCAGATTTGTTGCTCATCAATGCTCCATATACTTTATTGTCAATAACATCTCTTTTGCTTTAATTTTGTGTTGGTTTCTCAAGCATACAATTAATTTATCCTGTTTAACATAAGTTATTAGGAAGAAACTTTGTTTGTGAACTGATCATGATTCACCTTTGAAATCCCCAAATTTTTTAATCTTGAGTATCTTCAGTATTGATATCTCACACCATCAAAAAGCTCATAGTATACCATCATGCATGTAATTTATAAGCCTGACTCGATATTTTAGTTCCGGTCTAGCCATTCCAAGCAACCGGTCAAGAGACTCAGACTGAGCGGATATTTTCAGGCTTCCGAAGATGTTTTGATATGCATGAAACTAGTATCAACATCTTTTTGAGTCGCAGATTTTTTCTTCTGTTGTAGCTTTCTCTAATTTGCAATCTTGATAATCAGATTGCTGGAGTTAAGTTGTTTTTTCTAATTACCACTCATCCGTTGCAAATTCCAGGGTGTGGCTTACCATCAAATCCAACCTAATTCCTTTTAGTTAAGTCTTCCACTTGCTATGTTTACTGCTGTTGATCTAATCATCTATCACACGTCTTGAGTCTCTGGGCTCATGGATTTCCAGTCTACCAGGGATTATCAGTTCATTTGTTGAAGCAGTACAACAGTTAATAATGATGTTAAATCCGATTAGTAAGCTGGGTTGTGCATCCTACCTCTTATGATTTTGTTTTTATGACATTATCTACAACCATTTTCTTGCATTCTCAAATTAGAGCAGATTTATCCGAAAATTAGACTTGTAATCTAGCTGCCACACTTACCTTTTTGGCATTCCAGTACTGACTAGGTAGATTGCTTGAATTGTAATGTATGCCTCTGTTATTCACTAGTGATGCTCAAGCAAGATTTATGTGTGGTCGAGTTTTCAACTTGCACAACATATATAATTTTTTTTTTGTATGTTGTTTGTCATAGCTTTCTAGATGTATGTATATCATTTGCCATCTTTTCAACTCAACATTAAATGCTTTCTGATTAGATTGTGGGGTTAATTTGTGGTGTTTGCATGAAATTGGGTGATTGATCAATCACAAAAATATTTTTTGCATGATCATTCCTATTATTTTCATTTCTTCTTCCGTACAGGCTGATGAAGACCATGTCGTGTGCAGGTTCACAACATAGGTTGTTGAGAAGACTATGAAGTTCCAAGTCTAGAGAGGATGGAAATAGCGTAGAACTTTTGACCAAATCATTAGAATTAGGTTGAAGCTATTAACCATTTTTTCTTCTCCATCGAAGAGACATGTATGAGCATTTTTCTCCTCTCTTTTTTCCCCTTTTCCTTTTGAGGATTCTGAAATTTATAGCCGACAACATTGTAAGTCATGGGGTTTTGTGAACCTTGACTTTCCTGCCCATCAAAATAATTTTTGTAATTTCTGCTAATATATTCTTTTCGGGTACGTGTTTCATGCTTGCAAAATTGAAATCATTCAGTCGTTGATAGGGTTGGGAAATTTCTCTTGTTTTTTTATGTGATGTGATGTGATGTTCAAAGTGAAAATTTTAAGCTTAATTAGCTGCTTCTAAAACCTGATATTCCTGATCATGGTCTTGATTATGAGTTGGAAACGATGAACATCGGAAATCAGTATATTCTAATTTGTTTAAATCAATGCATTTAGGATGCTGTTATTCTTTTCTTTAATAATCCCTCAATTGAATCTGAAATGATCTAACAGGTAAATTAATGATTCCATCTCTTTGATCAAAATACTTATGTCAAAATTGATAATAGTATAGATTCCGATATCAAATATCACGAATCGAGTTTAATAGGTTAATTGATTTATTAATTTTATTGACCTATTAATTAATATTTAAGTTAAAAATTAATAAGAATACATTTAGCTGACTTTTTTATTTTTTCGCATTGCTACTGTCATTTTTGTTCTCATTAGGTTTCTAATTCTTCTTAAGCTTTGTCCGGACAAGATTTTATCTATAAAGATTAAGATAACCTCAAATACTCTAATTTGAAATAATAATAATAATAATAACAATAACAAATAATCAACATGGTAGTCGTACTTGGGAAGATACAAATGGTTTCAGCACCTCTTCAGTTCTTGTAGAATTCTATCAGCAAAGAGAGATCGCCATCATCGGACGACACAGTCGACGCGGAATTTATAATGTTCATCTCTCGTGGTTCAGATATCCACTCTTTGTATGATCACAACCCATAGCATAAGAAACCCTCGAGGATCAGATCCAACATGAGGTGATACGACGAACGAGAGCTGTTGATATGATGAGATTTCCATGAGGTAAGTGGTGCAGCATTAGGCACACGAGAGATCATCCAGTAGTAGTACCTCATGGCTCATCACCGTCATCATCTTCTTCTCGGCCGCATCACCCACTTCTGCCGCCACCCGAGACGCGCACAGGTTCGAGGGAAATGGGTAACCTAAAGAAGTGCTCCTCTCCCCTCTCATCGATCTTCCTCACCCATCTGCTTTTGCTGCCCGGCCTCCTCCGCCCTGATCCCTTAGCGCTCTTCCGCCGTTCCACGCCGCCTGCCGTCGTCCCCGTCCTTCCCACCTCCTCAATCTTCCCTATCATCGTCACCTCCATCCCTTCTTCGCCTATCGGCCCCTCCTTCCCTCCCCGCAGACAGTTAGCGATCGCCACCGAACTTCTCGGGTTGACGTGGAGCAGCTCGAGCAGGCCTGCGTACGGGTCGGACTTGCAGCCCACCAAAGAGCAGTCGATGTGCTCGTGATACGGGTCGCCCACCTTGAACTCCACCGCGTCGTCCACGCCGAACTCCTCGACGACATCCTTCGTGGGAGCGAGCGACACCTCCTCCGGGATGATGCAGACGAGTCTGCCTCCGGTTTGTCGAGCTGCAGCGGCGAGGGCTCCCGTGGATTGGGATGCCTCCGGTGAGACTTCTACTATTAGCTTGGCACCCATGCCGGCCGCCAGGGCCGATACGAACTCGTCGCTCGCAGGTTCCGCTGATGGATGACCATCATTTCTTCTTCTTCTTCTTCTTCTTCCACTGTCCCGGGCAAGCTGGAAAAGGAAGAGAAAACTAGCGCATTTAGCTCGTTCATAGGTTGATTTAAATGCCTTTTATTTCCGATTCTGGCTCTTAACATGTCAGGTCAGACAAAAGACTACTTTTGATCGTCGTTAGGTTTGATTTCCCTACATTCTTGGCGACTGATCAATGGATGCAGAAGATGTTTGATCCAAGAAGAAAAGGTTGTATCCAATAAGAAAGATAAAGGTGGATTGGTTTCCAAAGAGACTCACACGGTCGATTTGCTTGAAATTAATGCATAATATTTATATATATTAATCGACAGGAGAAACAGAAGAAAGTGGAAAGATTACCGGTTTGAGAGTGTCTAAGCAACCATCGACAGCGTTTTCTCGAGACCAAACCATTCTTTTCATCTGTTACCCGTTCTCGTTCTCCTCCACCGATTAATGTGATTCTCCCCAACACCGTTGTGTGTGTGATAGAACCAAAGAGTTAACAGAGAGAGAGAGAGAGAGAGAGGTGGGGATCGAAGAAGAAGCAGAGGAATTAATAGAAGGTGGGGAAGGTGGTGGCTGTCGCTGTAGACTACGTGTTTTGGTCGTCGTCGACGCTGGCTTTAGCGAGAGGTGAAGGCTATCATACAAAGCAAACCCATCCCGATCGGTGTTACACTTCAGCCGCGTCCGATTCCTCGGCGACTTCGGTCAAACGCTGCCTATTTCTAAGAAATATGTCCATATTTATCGTTGTAGAAAATTAAAAATAGTTATAAAATCTATCTCTTCAACGTCTGTATGGTGTTATGATTCAAGCTAAGAACTTTTAGGTTCTTACGATGATCTATCAAAGTCTTTACGCGCTAAGCTATCCGATAATTACGTCATCACTTTTAATTCATGTCTTGATATAATATATGTATAAAAAAAATTAAATTCTTGATTTTAATTCACTATTAATTTGATATGGTAAAAATCCACCATCAAACTAATAATATATTTATTTAGTTTATGAAATTACAGATATACATATATCGATCTAACATTGGGATCCATTTTCACTGTGATAATGAAGACAAAAACATAGAGTGAACAAATTTTGTGACGTGAGGAGGAAACGATCAACTCGAATGATATCAGCGTGACTGGTCCAGCAAGTCTGGCTGTCATCCATAATTCCGTGATGTTGATGTGTAAGCTTCAGCTAAAAATAGCCATTAGTCCTTCGGTGATTCATCAGAGCACAATGCATGGGGCTACACAACAGTCAGCCTTGTCTGTCATCATCATCGTATATGGATTGCACTTCAGAGATGAAGCTTTTATCTTTCCAAGGTTGGCTGATGCTCACACTTCCTCTCGAATTATTTGTGCAAAGCCACCTTTTTGTGGACTTGGATGGAGTTTGATTGCCATTTATTACGGTCTGCTCCATGCCAGCCTGCTGCAGCTTGGATGTCTTCTGCTTGTGGTTCCCACTGCCTCTTCTCGACTTAAATTGTTTGTGTGAGAGAGATGCAAGTCTCAAACAACATATACTGTTAACTGTGACCTCTTAGCTTTTACAAATCTTTGATTTCATTATTCTATATGTCTATTACTGTATGATAATTCATTATTTATCTTCATAGATATAAATATATAATTTTGTGAGAAATTATTTGTCGAATGGATTCGTATGATTTTATCCTTTCGTACTTTTGTCGATTACGACAAATGATAACTAATCATACGAAGTATTATTATTTAGATGGAAAACATGAATGACCAGTGACGAGAGGAGAAATGAGTACTCCATCGACAAGCATATACTCGACGTCACGTACAGAGTAGCCGAGACATTGCCTGGTCCCGAAGCCAAGCGAAGAAATGTGTACACAAGTAAATGTACGCTTTGTGATTCCTTCATCTTTTGCTGTCGAGTCCGATGTAAGGGCAGAAAATTAAAGGTGACGCCACCCACCCATTTGGTGCCATTTCATATGTGAAATCTAATTCGATTTATAATGTAAATGTTTGAGAATGTACATTGTACTATTGTAGTAGACACGTACACAGAAACAATGATACCTGCATTCACAGGCCACTGTGTGTGCGTTTTGGCCGTCGACACAGCGTTCCTTCATGTGCTCACTATAAATCCTCACATGTGGTGTCTCGTCTCTGCTCCTTTCACTTCCCGTGGGTGCCAGCAGATCCTGTAGATTGAGCCTCCATTGACTTGGATTACCTCTGACTTGGATGTTTATAGTCGTCCCTCACGATGCATTGCTGTTCTTCTGCCGTGGTAAAGCACTCCGAGTGAAAGATAAGGGAAACATTATTTAGCAGGGATTGATGGTACGTACAGATCCTGCAAAGCAAATGGGGTTCCTTGGCCCATGGAAACCTGACCACCGGGTTGAAGACAGCTAATGCTGCAGGAGGTGGACATCTCACCGGACTGCTGCTGCCTTCACCTCGCTCGGCTTTCCTTATAACCCTCGCTGACATCTTCTTCCCCTTTTGCGACTCTTTCTCATCTTTCACCTCAACTCCCTTCGCTTTCTCAACAGCAGCCTTATACGATGGGCTACGGCCGACTGGGATCGTCCGAGTCGATCCTCTCTGTTTCCGATCTGGAACCGAGTCGCGACGCGCCGAGCACGCGCAAGCGGGTGTTGCTTTGGCTCGCCTTCGTCGCTGTCCTCCTGCTCGCCGCTTCCGGCGTCTCGGTCGCGCTGTTCTTCCGCGGCCGCATCCCGTCGGTCTCGCCGGCGCGCCGCCGGGCCCCTAGCCAGGCCATCTCCAGGGCGTGCGGCCGGACTCGGTACCCCGCTCTGTGCGTGAGCTCGCTGCTCGACTTCCCCGGCGCGCTCGAGGCGGCCGGGGAACGCGACCTCGTGCACGTCTCGGTCAACATGACGCTCCATCGTGTCGGAGCTGCCATCCACGGCGCCTCCGCCATCGCCGGCGCCGCCATGGACACTCTGGCCCGTTCCGCATACGACGACTGCATGGAGCTGCTCGACCACTCCCTCGACCTGCTGTCCAACTCGCTCCTCGTCGTGTCCCCGTCCTCGCAGGCCCGGGTCAAGGCCGTCTCCGGCGAGGACGTGCTCACCTGGCTCAGCGGCGCGCTCACGAACCAGGACACGTGCAATGAAGGTCTGCAACCGGTCAAAGACCTCTACGTCAAGAAGCACATGGCGAACCAGCTGAAGGACCTCACCGAGCTTGTCAGCAACTGCCTGGCCATCTTCTCCGGCGTGAGCCGTAACGAGGACTTCACCGGCATTCCCATCCACAACAAGAAGAGGAAGCTCCTGAACGCCATCGACGTCGACGATGGATTTCCGGCATGGGTGGCGAAGAAGGACCGGCGGCTGCTTCAGGTACCGGCGGCGGACATTCAGGCAGACATGGTCGTGTCCAAGGACGGAAATGGCACCTACACGTCCATCGTGGACGCCGTGAAGGCCGCGCCGGAGTACAGCAGCCGCCGCATCATCATCTACATCAAGGCCGGCCGGTACTACGAGAACATCAAAGTCGGAAGAAAGAAGACGAACCTCATGTTCATCGGCGACGGCAAAAACCAAACGATCATAGCCGGATCGCGAAGCGTCTACGACAACTTCACCACCTTCCATACCGCCACCTTCGGTATGTGTCACTTCACAGTGAATTCCCATCATTGAATTCAACCGAATTGAAGGAAGGAGAATAAATTGGTTGACTCTGTAATGATTGGCAGCGGCGACAGGGACGGGGTTTATAATGAGGGACATCACGATACAGAACTGGGCAGGGCCGGAGAAGCACCAGGCGGTGGCGCTCCGCGTGGGGGCCGACCACGCGGTGGTCTACCGCTGCAACGTCATCGGCTACCAGGACACTCTGTACGTGCACTCGCAGCGGCAGTTCTTCCGGGAATGCGACATCTACGGCACCGTCGACTTCATCTTCGGCAACGCGGCGGTGGTGCTACAGAACTGCAGCCTGTGGGCACGGAAGCCGATGGACATGCAGAAGAACACCATCACGGCGCAGAACCGCAAGGACCCCAACCAGAACACCGGAATCTCCATCCACGCGTGCCGGGTGGTGGCGGCGGCAGACCTGGAGCCGGTGAAGGCCAGCTATTCCACCTACCTGGGCCGGCCGTGGAAGCTGTACTCCAGGGTGGTGTACATGATGTCGTACATGGAGGATCACATCCACCAAGCGGGGTGGCTGGAGTGGAACGCCACCTTCGCCCTGGACACGCTCTACTACGGGGAGTACATGAATTACGGGCCGGGGGGTGCGGTGGGGAAGCGGGTGACATGGCCAGGGTACCGGGTGATCACGCTGCCGGAGGAGGCGAGCAAGTTCACGGTGGCTCAGTTCATCTACGGCTCCTCATGGCTGCCTTCAACTGGAGTGGCCTTCTTGTCTGGCTTATCCGTGTAAATGGCCACCCATCCCATCCCTTCCTTCTTCTAAATGTTATCATTGCCTTTGTTCTATATGTGACCTCTTTGTTTGTGTACGATATAGGTTTATTTTGCCTTTTTTTTATTTCTTTCTAAGATGTTTTTATTGGAATTCTTCAGAAAGAGAATAATTGCAATCTGCTGAACTTCGATTGATAACTACGCACTGTTCAATCTGTTGACTTGTCTCTGCAACATCCTCATGTTCTCATCTATATCGCAAATGGAGTGGAGATGGATATCTTAAAGCCTTCTTTTCCTTGGAATAAGAGTTGTTTTGGCTTTTTCGTACGTAGATTCGAGTGCAGTTTTTGGGAATGGATAAAGACAACATAAGCATGATGAGTATAAGAATCTAAGGATGTCCTTCCGATAAGTAAAATACTGCAATGTTTCTGGCGCCATGTTAACACCATCTTCATATAGAATACAAGGATTATTACGTGCTTGGTTATCTTCCCACCTGCTGCTATCATGGACACCAACAGATGACTCTAATGGAGGTCAGTGCTGTGTCCAGAAGATATCTATGAACAAGCAAAGTCTTCTGGGACAATGATGTGGCCCACGAGTTCCAAAACTGTGTGTGACCTGTTGTTGATTACTATGGACAACAAAAATGGTGACAAGAGCCACAAGAACAGTTGTATCAGTCTGCAGTACTCTGCCCACCCCACGCCTTCACTCACAGGGAGGATGAAAGGAATCCGACGCAGGACCCCATTGAAAAGCCGGAGCCTAAAAGGTAGGAGGAATACTTAATTGGAAGAGAGGGGAAATTTCCTGACTCCTGAGGACTCACGTGGTGCTGCCATTGTTTTGTTTCCAGTGGCTGCTCTCTTCTCCTCCTGCTGATGCTTTTTCTCTGCATTGGTGGGGACTTCGTGTGGCGGTGTCGGTGGGAAGAAACAATGCACCCCCCTGCAACTAAAACCATGGATGGGGGAAGACGGTGGCGAGAGCAGTGAAATGTGTCTGGAGGTGAGGGGTTAGAATTTAATGGGTGAACGGTGGGCAGTAATGGTGACGCCAAGCTGAGCTGCTTGTAGGGTTATTGATGAGCCATCAGCATGAATATAATTATTATGCTATAATGATTCCCCACTCAATTGGGGATAGTATATATTTATTATGCTTGTAGGGGTTGGAATTTTATAATTTATATAAAATATATGTATAGTATTGTGTGTAAATTATCACTTTATATTTGTGGTAACCATACATTCCAAGATATTTTATATTGGGTGATTTTCATAAAGTTTTTCTCTAATATATTTTTTGATATATAATATCTTCTATTTTTTATAATTATATAAATATCATTGAGAGTATAGACGATAATAATATTGGAAGCGAACGATAAACAAAGAAGGATGAATGAAGTCTCAGAATGGCAATAGGAGATGAGGGCAATAGACGACAAAAGATAAGCAAGAATAGAGATAAAGTCGATGGATGAGGAAGGACGGATGAGACCCCACGATGAGAGTATGGGATAAAGACGATGAACTTTATATGCATAGAGACGATATAGCCTCGTGATCCTCGTGATGGGACTACGGTGATGAGAGCATTTACGTACATAAAATAAGAGTCACTATTATGATCATATTTTGAGAAAAAAAAAGGAAAATAATTTCAGAAAAATCACCATTTTATGTATGCAAATTAACAATATTATGCACTTACTGACTCAACAAATAAACTCAAAAGATGACGGCCGAGCTCTCTTATTTAGCATCTAAAAGGAGAACAAAAAATTGGAACAGAGTGGAAAATGATGTGGTGAGGTACTAATTAGCGGACATATTGAGCCCGTGAAATAGAGAGCAACGGCTTACTGCTTGGTGGTGCCGGTTTTGCTTCCCATGCCCACAGCATTCGTGATGGCATCAGTTGCCCCCCGAGCCATGTTCATCATCTTCTCCCCGGTCTGGTGCATCACCCCGCCGGCCTGCTCCTTGCTCTCCTGGCACGACTGCTTGCACGATTCGGCCGCGTCTCGTGCGCTGCTCACCAGCTCGCCTTCTTAACCTTCACATTGCAACCAAATTATTGGGGAATAAACACAAACGCTAGGCGCGCATAGAACTTACCTGAGCCTGTCCCACAGCCTGACCAGCTCGGCCAGCTCGTCCTTCTTAACCTTAGGCGTGCATAGCCTTTCCTGAGCCTTACCTGAGCCTGCTCACCAGCTCGTCCTTCTTAACCTTCAGATTGATCTGCCATCTCTTCTCTCTCTCTCTCTCTCTCTCTCCTTCTTCGATGTCGCAGCTTCGGAAAAGGAATGATATGGATATGATCACCTGGCGGAGACTTTATATACCGTGGGCAGAGTACCAATGATGAGACGTCGCACGTACCATATGCATTGATGGGGAAGTGCTCTTGAGCTATTCCTCGGCTCAAAAATAGGAAGACCAGGTCTCGGCCACTCGACCGAAGCTTGGGCCTCAGAATCCGGGATTTAGATTCAATAGTTGAACACAACACATACATACACTGCAAATGAATTAGTCTTCCGAGAGTGTAATCTCAAAACAAATCACAAACAAGAAATGAATTCTGGCTGTCACATATTTCTCCTGGAAATCAAACTTCAACCAGTAATATTTTGAGCAGGAACTATATAAACTTCAACCAGTATATTAACCAAACCCCAAATGACTTATTTTCAAGAAACGCTATAAGTAAAATGATCCTCATTCTCTTTTATTAGAGAAGAAGTGAAACAGTTTGGGCCTCCTTGACGATACAACATACTACCTGACTACTGCGACCAGCCGATGAGGGAAAAACATGGATCCATTCATAGATTTCTCTCGATAAATTCCCAAATTCTCTCTTCCATATGAACACGATCTCTAAGCCGACGAGGCATGTGCCGTTCATCTGGAAACAGCAGAAGTTCATACGGCTTACCAGCTGCAATTAGTGAGTTGATAAGTCTTGCTGTGTGCCTGAAGTGAACGTTCTCATCGATCATTCCATGAACAAGCATCAACTTCCCTTTGATCTTGTGCACATGGTGCATGATCGACCCAAACTCATAGGCATCAGGATTTTCGTTGGGCAAGCCCATGTATTTTTCAGTGTAGAATGTGTCATATCCATCCCATGAAGTTACCGGGGCACCTGATACTGCACACCGGAAAGTGTCAGGAAACCTTGCCAGGCTCATTGCTGACAGAAAACCGCCATAGCTCCAACCATATAAGCCAATGTGATCCACTTTGGCAAGCCCTTGCCTTACAAGCCACTCCGCACCAGTGAGTTGATCTTCTGCATCTATACGACCGAAGCTGTGCTTTATATGGCCCTCAAACTCCAATCCTCGCCTTGCAGTCCCTCTGTTATCTAGCTGCCAACAGAAAGGACAATTAGCTTGAGCTGGAAAATGCAGTGATAATCATGAGAGGCATCATTGGCGATAATCCAAAACTGTAACAAAGACTAATAAGAACATAAGTCTATCATAATAAAGGCCGACATGAAACAACTAATTATTTCTTGAGGTATCTAACAAAAACCTATGATTCGAAAGACACATTATATAAGAACAATACATACCACAAAGTCCCATATTTGTGTATATTCAATTACATGCACAATATCTGATTCAACTAGGTTCATCTCCCTCCTCCTAACCATTATGAAGTATAAACACAAAATAGTCATCTGTGTATTAATCTCACTATGTTTCCGCCTCACATTCATTAAAAAAAAAACCCATCATTTTAGCAATAATAAAAAATCAAGAAATATAAGACAACATCCAACTTCTAGATCCAGCAAGATATTTTGGAAAGCTTGATAAGAATGGAGCATGAAGACCATCTACAGTTTCAAAATTGAAGCTGTGAAATAATAATTCAAAAGTTCACTACTTTTTGGAACCATACAATTTGTATTAGATATCATATAGAATAATGACTATATGTTAAAGCCAATAAATTAAGTTTATCTCAACAATATCCCACTAGTATATATGCTTTTTTAAAACAGTTACCAAGAAATGTATTTGACAGATCATGTATATCATATTGCAGTTTATGAACCTGGACATAACTGAAAGAAAATAGCAAGCAGGATTACCTTCCATACTAAGATTCCCTTATTCCTTAGGTATTGAGCTCTCATGTCAACTGTATTTATCCATGAATCAACTACAAGTTGAACACTTGGACCACCATAAATATTGATTAATGTTTTATATGGAGGTGGCCCAAATTTCCTTGCATCAGGTTTGTATAAAGCCCCATATAAAACTGTGCCATCTTTTGCAGATATTTGCACAATCTCTGGTGATAGAAGTTGTAGCTTCCTACAACAAGGAATGCTAAGAGGCTGCTCAAATAAAGGAGTTATTACACTTCTATCGTGTAAAGAACAAAGTATTACTCTAGGTGGAGAGTTCAAAGAATCGTGGACATCAACAAATCTCTGCATCTGATGATCAAGAACCACTGCATGTCTTCCCCTACCCTGAGTCAACCTCACTGGTTGTTGTAAGGGAAGGTTCCAATCTGGAAAAAGCTTTGTACAGTATAAGTTAGATTCTAATGGTCCATCCACCGTGCCAGTGAAGTAGAGAAGACCTGCATTTTCATTTATGCCAGCAATTTGCTCAACCATCCAATTACCCTGGGTAAGAGGCCCCAAGCAAACTCCATTATTGTCATGATGGTAGAGATGTCTAAAACCAGTCTTTTCACTAGCCCAAATGAAACCACCAGACGAACAATTCACTCCTTTGTCTAGAGGTGTGAAGCAATCATGCAAGTTTATCCATGTCTCATGCTCTTCTACAAATAAGACCTTTTTCTTTCCGGTCTGAATATCAAACTTAAAAATCTTCAATTTGGAATGGGACCTGCTGAGGACTTGAGCTGTAAGAGAATTATCAGGCATCCAATTGACTCTAGCTAGATACTCTTCATCACCACCAGCATCATCTTGTAACCCGCAAATAAGGTCCATCCAAGTAACTTCTCCTCCAGAAGCAGGAACAACTCCAAGTCGAACTTTCACATTAGCTGCTCCAGCAAAAGGGTAGGCATGGTCTTCTTGTGCATCTGAGCCAACTGAATTTTTTCCCTGATGCATAATTCTGAAAAGAGGTATCTCAGCTGAATCAACTTCAGCGAATGCAATATATTTGCTATCGGGAGACCACCAGAATCCAGTCTTCCGATCCATCTCTTCCTGTAGCCAAAAGCAATCAGTCAGCAGATAAGAAGTTTATCATAATGCACTATAGCATTTGAGAATTAATTTAATCACAGACGAAAGGAGAAAGTTAGCACCTGTGCGATGTATTCAGCGAGACCATGAGTCTGAAAACAGAAAACAGAAAACAGATCAGACCTGTCAGATACTGTACATAAACATGGTCACTAAAATATTCATGCAAACAATATGTTTTGCCAGAAGCAAGCCACAATGTATATGGAATGAATATGGACATTTAAAGATCCAGGCTAAGGTTTGTTGCCCATAAGATAATAAGATTATTGCTTGACAGCTGAGACATTCAAAATATGGAGAGATATTAACATGCGCTGTTTTCAGTGCCTACATACAAATACTTCAAAGAACAGTTGACTTCCAAATTGGCTAAATAGTTATGGTCGAGAGATGTTCTCCAAATAATTCTTCATTATATCAGCTTTCTCCATGGACTACCATGTCTGATATGTGTTATTCAAAGATACTCCTTCAAGAATATTTATAGATACTTCAATGTGTTTACAGAACTTATTGAGATCAAAACAAAGTATATAATGATGCTTTGTTAAATCACTATCAGATGTGCTGATTAGCACTGTCTTAAGGATTTAGGGCGTCATGACACCTAGAGTGACTGGTTCAGTACAATGCCTTATGTATCATGACAACAATGGGAAAACCACAACTATTCTGACATAGGCCACAACATTTCTGGCAAATCATAATGTGCCACCATGTTCTCTTTATCCATACAGGGTATTCGGCAGATTAACATTACAAGGATATCATTCCTGTATTGCACTGAAACTTCTCTGGTGCAGTCCTTGATGGTGCATGTCGGACGACAGCTTTTGTTCTAGGTCAAAGTGCATGTCTGAAGATGGAACTTTCCAATTAGCCCAAAATCATCTTGCCCTCAGTTCCTTTGTGCATAAAGAAATAATAAATGGAAACACAACAGAATCCAGTTCGATCATATTTCAAAGAACCAAACCAAATGTAATGAACAAACTGGTCCTAGCCTGGTTGAAACAAACTATCCTGCATGAACACAGTTTTCATTTTCATATTCAATATTGACGAGCAAGAAGCCGCATTTTCCCCTGAAGAATCATCATATTCTGAAGTGCTAATCTTTCAAGCACCTCTGGGAATAAAAACCCAAGAGAGAATTGGATCAAATTCAATGTGCAACTGATGTTCAAGTCAATAATTCCTGCTACGTTTGATAACTAGGCAACCAAGCTACAACAGCAAAATTGTACAGACAAAATAACAGAAACTCAGTTAGATGACTCAGATGTCTTGTAATCTTCTCAGAACGTAAACTTATCCACTAAAAAATTTCGATCACATGTTTACATAGCAAAAGAGAAGATCTTTGTTTATGATGTCTCCATAAATGAATATTTTCTCTAAAAAGTAACCCTAATCTTAAAGTTTATTAGATGTATATCGTAAGTTAATATGAACAAATCACAAGTATCATAATTATTTCCAAACCAAAAAAAAAAGTCATAAAAAAAGGATACATTGTTATAACGAGCAATGAATATCTCACCTTTCCATTTGCTCTTGCACCAAAAGTTAATTGGTTAGGCAGCTTAGGCTCCCCAGGTGACAAACTTAAAACATGAAGCTCATCATCTCCAACATACGCAAGCATGCTTCCATCTGGCGAAAGATGTGGGTCAATAATTGGCGAACCAGAACATGGCAGCTTGAGCTCTGGTTCTGAGCCACATAATTCCTGGAAATAGACCTGTTGGAAAAGAGATTATTCACTATCACACCTTAGACGAGAAAGTTCAAGATTAATTGATATTGCGGCACAAGGGATAACAACTTTCAACAAAGAAAACATTTTGACAATCGGATAAATGTCATGTAGCAAAAAACAAATCAAATTCTTTTACTACAGTCGACCCATTTACTACGATCGACTCATTAACCGACTAAATCAAGAAATAGGGCAGAGCACAGACCCCATTGGGCAATGGCACCATGATGGTGGGCTTTTCCGGAGAAAAGAAAGAAGATGATGGAGACCTCGCTTTCCATTGGTACCGCGTGACTCCCAATCCCCTCTCCCTCGACCTCTCCCTCCTCAGCTTCTCCTCCACCGAGAGATTGGTCTCGTCGAGCCCCCCTCCTTCGGGCGGGCTAAAGGCCAGCTCTTGCCGCCCCGAGACGACGTCAAAGGCGAAGAGTTTGCGGTGGAGGGTGCCATCGGGGCTGAAGAGGTACGAGATCAGGCGTCCATCGGGGCTGAAGCTGATGGAAGTGGGGGCGACGCAGCCCGGCAGCGGGAACTGGACGATCTCCTCCACCGGAAAGAGGAAGGAGTCGTCGTTCGCGTCAGCGAGTGGCATCTCGGCGTTGCAGTGGCGCGGCTTCTTCGCGAAGGCCTCCTTGTCGCTGTCCTCCGCGGCCGCGCGCGCTTGCATCAGAGAGGGATAGTGGCGCCGGTGGGGGAGGGGTCGGAGGACCACCGAAACCCTAGGAGGGGCGGCCGAGCCCGAACCCTTGGGGATCGGACTAGACGTAGTGGGGCGATCGGATCGGCGGGCGGAGGAAATCTAGCGGCTCCCCACTCCGGCGCTTTCCACCACCACCTCTCGCTCTCTCTCTCTCTCTAGTCCACACGGCTTCACTTAAATGTTATGGACGTTCTCTTTTACACATTAATCCTCCACATATATTAAATTACATATTAATTCCTCAATTACTTTCTACGTTACATATATGCCCTCGCGAGGGGGTTCATATGTAAAACTCTATTTTATATGAGGCTCATTGACATATATGAGCATTTAGAATTCCATTAATGTGTTTTGAGTAGTCACTAATTAGTGTATTGAATAACTTGGGTTCTTTAATATTAACCAATGAAATTTTCAATGTGTTTACACTAACTATTGATTAACATTAATAATATTGGGATTTTTGAAACCTATAACCAATATTCAATCTGTGCTATTGCAAAGTTTATCTTTCTATGTTATGTTCTCCATGGAGTGGATATAGAACACACAAGGTGTGGTGTTTGAGATGGAACAGAGGATGATGGATGAGTGGTGACTTTGGTACACAAAAGGCTTGGATCAAGTAGGCAATGTAGTCCAAGTCTAAGGTACAATGAGATTGATTTGTGAACACAATAATGTGGATATGGATGTCAATGTGGTCACCTTAGGTGAGTCCCACCACCTAAAGATTTGAATCATATAGATGGCAACCCTCAGGGGAAATTTATTGGTATTGGATTTATACGTGGGGATCACAAATTGGTGAGATGTGACAAGCAATTGTGGGTGAGAGGAGGCACATCATTTTAGTGAGAGGACCAAAATTTGGGGGGGCTCAAGCGTACGGATATTGCACAAAGCCTCCTTATTTCCCTAACACCGTTTTTTGATTAGAGAGGTCAACGAAAACCTGACTCATGCAGCTTAGATCGATACGTTGTTATGCATGACTCGGGTTCGATTCGACTTGATTTCAGCCACGATCGGGTCCGTTTTGGTTCAAATCGATGTGTTTAGAACATTCTCTGAAGTTGATGCGATGGGCGTTCGAACGCAGGCACTGCCAGCCTCTCAGGATTTGCCACGTCGGTAAGCAAATAGTTATCAGTGTCTCGCGTCACCGCACGGTCCATCTGCGATCGCAAGTACTTTCCCGTCAGTGTTTGTAGTCGCGGGTTCCGTGCGGCTCACGAAAGCGCGTCGCGCGGCTCGTTAGGTTGGTTCACTCCGAAGGTCTCTGCGGAGAAGAAGCGGCCGCCTCGATCATCAAAGGCAGGAATTCGTTTGTTCTTCTTCTTCTTCTTCGGTTTCCCCTCGTCTCTCTCTCGCGTACCAAATCAGCTTTCTTGAGACTCTGCCGGATACTAGGGTTTGGGCGCTTCTGATTTTTTCGCTATTCTACTCATTCGAGGTTAGGGCTCGATGTTAGTTATGTTCCCGATCAACAAGACGGTAAGACGGTCTGATTTCTCGAGAATGCCAAATAGATTCTTTGTCGGCGAATATCGGAGGAATTTTAAGGAAATTTGCTTCACCCGATCGCGGGATGTTTTTGTTATTAGAGACGCTTGTAATCTCCATTTAAATCCATTCATGGATTTTAAACTGGAGTAAGATTTCTTGATATGTAGCAAAGTTTCAGGATGTATCGCAAGGCAATTTAGATTCATTAAAAAGGGAGAATAAATCCTACTTGATGGGCTAGACGTTTAACAGCTCGCATTCTCCCAGCTCAATTAGAGTGTTTTTGAGCGACTGGTTGATGATGATCAATTGATTAAGAAGGATATTGTAGGATTTGGTATATTAATGCGTAAGGGCGGACCTCCCTGCTTGTAGGTGTAAGGTTGCATATGTTTATCCTCATCGGACCTTGCTTTGGCAAGAACCTCGTGTCTTCGTATGCCATTATTATTTTATATCGAGTGAATTTTGGCAAAGAATTTACTTGAAATAGTGGGAATATTTGTAGTTTGTGGAGGTGGGCATGGTTCATTGAGAGTCTTGCTATGAAAGGCATCTTGGTTTTCACAATTCTACATAAATATGACATCCAGTTGTCCTCAGTACCAATAAAGCATCATATTCTCTCTTAATGCTGATGATTTTTATGATCTAATCAATTGAGTGGACAGAGTTATCTTTTCACTTACTCTAGGGACACCTCACTACACATTTTTTTGGTGTGGACATAGTTAAAATTTTAACCATCTTACTACAGTACTTAAGAGCTTATTGTAGCATCTGAATTCTTGAGTTGAAGCAAAAGGAGTCTTTCATGAAGGACGACTGGTTGGTTTTTGGCAGGTGGTTTTTCAGTCAGATAGTTAATCGGTGTAAGACACGAAGAGTGTTATGTCAGACAGATTAAAACATTTTTGTGGTGTAGTCTTAAGAAGAAAGTACTCTGTTAGGTACAGCTGTCTTGCATGTTGAGGAAAAATAAAGTTTTTTTGGTGCATGCATCCATTAATTATTCATTTTGTGAACGGGGATGTAAGAGAAGCTTTCTTGCATTACGTGTGGCACATGGTGATGTTGACACATCTGTGCTGGTTGACACAAGTTAAAAATTTGCCTGGCCATGTGTTCATACAGTTGACATGGTTCAGCATGGTTTGGCCTGTGCCATCCAATGTTGACTAGCACAACACTCTTTGGTTGTGTCTATCTAGGACCAGGTTTTGTCTCTGTTCAGCTGAATAAATGTCTATGGTGTCGTAGGTGATTAGTGGGCAAGAACACCAATGAGATATTGAGATCGTTACTTGTTTACAAGATGTGGGGCACTCTGAAAACAATTTTTGCGGCAAGGTTTGTTCTAGATATAAGGTGCAGCAAGTTTTTAAACAGCTTCCAAAGTAGTGCCTGCTGATTTGCTTGCTCTTGTCTCCTCTTTTGCTTGCATTGTAGATTCTCATTTCATGTGTTTGAGTTTATTGTACATCTCATCATTGACTTGCTTTATGGTTCATTTGTTTCTGGAATTTCTGTCAGTTACTTGTTCAGTCAAAATTTTGACTTGTTTGGTGTCATGCAAAGGCATCATTATACCATGTATACCTTTGAAGAGGCCTCACCATAATAATCCTGTCTCTGCAACTCCCAACAAACAACTGATAGCAGGGGTGTTGCATTCCTTTCCTATCAAATATGCAGGGGATTATCTGGCTACTCCCTTTTATTTTTCTATGCTTTGCTTTTGGCACCAGCTTTGGGAATAAAAGGTTGCATAACTGATGCATGAAAACGTTGAATCATGACCAGTACAACTGTCACTTGTTACTGACTGTTGTATATGATCAAGTGAAACATAATTCCACGTTTTATGACAAATTTTCATGAAATAAATTAATAGAATAATTCATTTAGTTTATCAATCAATTTTTAAGATGCCATATCGTTGCATGGTGACCACTAGGTGGCTTTAAAGTCTGAAACTTTTATATTTCAGATGAAAATTCACCTGACTTAAAAGTGTTTGCATGTGCTGGCTATTATATATTGCTGCTTAATGGTGCCACTATTTTTCCATGATTCAAATTTGACTTGCTTTGTGACTCTCGCATGGTATTTTGACAAGGATGATATAAGTATGTGGTTGAAAGTCTAAATCAATCTAACCCAATCAAAACAAGATACAAAATTTAACTAGTTCTAAGGAAATAAGATTCTGTTAGATATCCTGCTTAATTCATCTAGCTCTTTGTCTTCTCTGTGCTCAATGCTTTATGGTGTTCTGCTATTATTTAGAATGTTTTTTTCCTTCGAATTTAAATTGTTGCAACTTGTTTTCATATTAGTCTTTCTTCTGGTGGATCAGAGGCTGAGAAGCAGATGGCATTTCCATTGCTACCATCCAAGCGTACTTTTGAACAAAATCCCTTGGAGCACACTGGGAGGGGTAAGTGGAAAAAGACTGGACCTTCTATAACACTGCAGAATCAGGTGAAAGTGCCCCTAGGGGCTATTATCTTCCGAATACTCTGTCCTGCTTCAAAATCTGGAAGTGTGATTGGTAAAGGTGGAGGTATTGTAGCAAGGATACGCCACAAGACTGGTGCAAAAATTAGACTTGAAGAAACTGTTCCTGGATGCGACGAGAGAGTTATTGTAATCACTGGGTTGGAGAAAGATGCCGAACTTGGCAGCAAACATAGTAAAGAAGATGATGAAGGTGCTGGTGCTGTTGATGGTGTTGAGAGTGCCAAGGAAAATACTGATAATATTGAAGGGGCAGAGGATTCTGCTGCTGCAGATAATTCAAAATTAGATGGAGTACCATCATCAGCAGTGAAGGCACTCGTACTTGTTTTTGAGAGATTAATTGAAGGTGAATCAGAAAATGATGATGAAGATGACACCAATAAGAAGCATTCCACTGTTTCTGCAAGATTATTAGTTCTGTCTGGCCAGGTGGGTTGTGTCCTTGGAAAGGGTGGGAGTGTAATCAAACAAATGTCAGCTGATAGTGGGGCCCAGATTCGGATACTTCCTAGAGATAAACTTCCGTTGTGTGCTTCCCAACAGGATGAAATTGTCCAGGTAAAGATTATTTTTGGTAATATTTAGCAGTTGTTTATTATGTTATTTTGTCAGATTTGGAAAGTTAATTATTTCTGCAGAAAATCAAATGTATTTCTATCTGTCTTTGTCATTGTTCAAATTTTGTTTGTCTCCTTTTCCAGTATCATGTACTGTCTCTTTCTTATTGTCATGATTTCTTTTACCTTGTTTATTTTGTATTCACCAAGTCTAGGTATTGAAGAGAAGCTTAGCATGGCAATTAATGGATAATTGATGAAACTTTGTCTCATCATTTTGCAGGTAACAGGAGGGGTTGAATCAGTGAAGAAAGCACTTCATTTAGTTGCTCAGCAGCTTTTGGATAATCCACCACGAGAACATGATTTGTTCCCGTCATTGGGTTCTTCTGGTCCATCGTCTGATCCATTTGCTTCTATTCCTAGGGCAGAAGGCCTTCCACCACCAAATTTTCATTATCCCCCTCAAGTACCACCTTTCTCAAACAGGCCTCATGACATCACGGACTTTCATCCAGGCATTGGTCCACCTTTTCCTAAATTTCATGAAAGTGGACCTCTTCTGCAACCCCAAGTTTCTCCAGAGCCAATAACTTACAGGTTATTGTGTTCCAATGACAAGGTTGGAAGTGTGATAGGAAAGGGAGGGAACATTGTCAAAGGTCTTAAAAATGACACTGGCTGTGAGATCAAAGTTCTAGAGACAACTCCTGAGTCAGAGGATCGTATTATAGTGATATCTGGTCTTGCAGTATGCTTCTTCCCCCCTCCCTCCTTCCTTCTGACTCCTTGTAGTTGCTGCAATATTTGAGACCTTGATTTCATGGCTTCATATAGCACTTCAGAATTTTCTGTTAGTGTAGCCTATTTATTTTTGGCTATTCTATCTATATTCTATTATATTTAGGATGGGAACTATGTCAAGAGGAGGTTGTATTTTTAAGTTCGTCATGCTTAGTCATTTTCTATTTAATAGTGTGATGAAGGATAATGCTAGGTCTCCTAATCTGATGATGGTGTTTGTAGCTTCCAAGTGATAGGATAGCGCCAGTGCAGGATGCAGTTCTTCGTGTGCAACATAGACTAGTAATGGCTGTACCTGATACGAAAGAGAGCACTGTCTTATCTAGGCTTCTTGTTGCTTCCAACCAAACTGGTTGCCTTCTTGGCAAAGGTGGTTCTATAATAGCAGAAATGAGAAAGCTTTCTGGGGCTCATATTCGCATCTTGGGTAGAGAACAGATCCCCAGGGGCGTACTGGAAAATGATGAGGTGGTTCAGGTATGTTTTGGGTTACTATTGTGTGAATATATGGCTGCTGCATCCTTTCTCCTGGCAGTTTCTATCTAAATTATTTGGTTTGGGCTTTGCCTCTGCCTCTTTCTGTTTTTGCAAAATGTCTTTGTTTTTGCTAAATTTTGTTCACCACAACAACATGACATTTGGATTCTTTATAGATATCTGGTGAATTTGGAGCAGTTCAGGAAGCTTTGTTGCAAATAACTGCTAGACTGAAGCTTCATGTTTTCCGTGATAAATTACCCGCTATGAATCCCAACATGCCTCCTGCTTTTGTTGAGCAATTACCTCCATATGGTTTATACATGGGAAGGAGGGAGTCTTCACCTCCCAGGTTGCATCCTTATTTGCCACCATTTCAGAAAGATCCTGTTGGTCACCCCTTTCAAGAAAGATCTGTCTTTTCTCATCCAGTTCATGGTTCGGGTATTCCTCTCGGTGTTGAGAGACCTGCATCATGGCCACCTCAGGTATCATGTTTTCTGTGTTATTTTTATTGATATTACAGAAATGGTAATTTTCTTACATGTAGTTTGCAGCTTAGAGAGGCTAATACTTGTTTTTAGAAACTAATGACTCATGTTATGAAGTATTTTTGAGAATAATTGATAACCATTCTGTGGTTGCTTTTATTTGGTTACTTTCTGCTAGTCAATAAGAAGTGCAGGTTGCAGTGCTTTTTCCAGTCAGACTTTGGCTTGTAATGTAGAAAACATATATTGTATATATAATGCCTTGCAATATACTGGCCCAGGTAGTACAGTGAAGTGATATACCAACATGGCTTGAAGTGTGCACCATTCTACACATCTGTTTGTCATACATGCCGCAACACTTGCTGTAATACCTTCATCTATTCTAGTAATAGCTGTTTGGGTACAAATAGTATGTAAATAGCGATATGAAAGCTTGATTGGGGTAATGTAACTGGCTCCAAGATATGAGTTGATTTTGTAGGCTTAACAAATATGGAGTTATAATATGACGCTACAAATAGTTGTTTGAATTATAGTGTTCTTTTGTTTTTAGAAGGCTTGTATTTGTCTCTTATCATATCTCACATATTCTATGTCCCAAATCTCAGTCCAGTATTTATAGTGGTTCTTGGGAGGACTTGTTCGGTAGTGTTAGTACCATGTGTTGGCACTCACTTGTGCCTACTGGTACAGGTCCAATTGGAAAAGAAGAAAACGAAATAGTACTGGTATGGGGAGCTACCATGGTGTCTGGGTTGTTTGAAACCCTAAGCCAAGCTCAAGGTTGATGCTCACTGTTGGGATGGTATAGATAGAAAAGTCATTTGTCTCGTTTATTTAATTAAGCATGAACTTTTTTATTTTAAGATGATACTGTTTAAAACTTGTTATGTTTCGTTGGTAAGGAGCAAAATAGACCAGAAAACTCACATGTTTTAGCTGAAAAAGTGGTCCACGTACCTGGTTTGCCTGGATTAGTGGTACGGATGGTATATTGTGAAATGCAGAAGCATATGATCTATTTATTTGTTTGGTTAAACATACTATTGCTGTCAGTCAGTTTCATTAATCCAAGACTGTTGGCTGATGATTTCTGTTTGCCTTTAGTTCTGTGTAACTTTCTTAAGTCAATTGGATTTTTGTTCTGAAATCATGTGCAAGGTGATAAGGAGCAAGTTTTGTTCCATTATGAGTTGGCTTTCTATTTCATTTCATGACCTGCTAGATTAACTAGTATAATATTTACAATTCTCAAGTTCTAATGAGAATTGTTTGTTTGGAAGGTGGGGGTTGAAATTTGGGTATTCATATGGACATAAAGATTCTCAACACTGTAAAATAATTGCATAATATCGGTATATGGTGTCCTGGCATGATTAGTTATGTGGGTTCAGTTTTTTGGCCTCATCTTCTGGTGGATATTAAGTGAAGTTTAGGCATCTTAAAGTTCTTTCAGAAGTCTAACTTTTGGTGTAATGCTGTTTTTTAGTGTGCAATTATGAGGTTTCATTTTGTTCTGGTGTACTCTTGACTTTTCTTGTGGCATAATGCTGCTCTTAAAAGCTAAATTTAATATTTCCTTGTTATTTATTTTTGAGTTTCGTTTGTTGATAATAAGAAATGGTAAGCATATTTATCTCAGTTAAGTTTGCTGAAATAGAACTTGCTTTTTAACATGTTCTTTTTTTAACTATTTTTTTTTTTCTGTTCTAAATCATTCTTCAATTTTTGTTAATCAATTTAGGGTATGAGGGATGTTGGTGGTCCCATGCTTTTACCTGATTACCCAGGAGATCCACAAAGAAGGAAGGGTAGATTTGCTAGGTCTGTTTTTCCACTAACTTCTTTTGGTATCACGGCAATCATTCATGAAAAGCTGAAATTTCTTTATTTCTGTTGGCTTTTATGCAGTGGAAGCCAGCCGGCCCCTATTACAAGTGTAGATGTTTTTGTTCCTCGATCTCTTGTACCGTCCATATATGGTGAAGATGGAGGCTGTCTAAAGCGGATCCGTGAGGTTTGTTTGATAATTATGTTGTTGCACATTAAACTGATTTGTTCACCTTAATGTGCATTTTCCCCCCATTTTCAGATCTCAGAAGCCAAAATTATCATTACTGAACCCAGACCAGAGGCTACAGAGACGGTAATCATTATATCTGGAACACCAGAGCAGACCCATGCTGCACAAAGCCTCATCCATGCGTTTGTACTGAGTGAAACTGTTCCTTTAGAATCTACCAAATCTTGAGGTGATGTTCTGTCTTTCCGTACTTGATCTTTCTTGTTTTCACACTAAGATTCCTTCATTTGTAGTAGGTACTTTTGATGCTTCATCTCATGGACATGCATCATATGTTGCTGTTCTAATGTTGTTTTGATTTGGAGCTTGGATTGTCAAATATCTAATCCACGATTTTTTGGCATTCAGCACTTTATTTTGGCCTCAGCCAATCAAGAAGCTTCAAGAAAGGAAGAAAATGTTTTCATATTAGAGAGACCAAAGGATCATATTCCAGTCAAACAATACTAGTTTCTTTCCTTGAATTTTGCAGATACTAGTATTTCTGGAGAGGATTCACAATTAGCTGAAGGAGTTAGTTTATCCTGAAAAGAAACAAAGAATATAAAAAAAAAATCTTTGTATGAGCAGAATTTAAATTTGGTTGTTCTGAACTCTATTGGGAAGATAATAAGCATGTGTTTGTATTTTTTTATGGATATTGCATGTATTAACAGTAAAAGTAGTATGATATTTTGAATGTTACACTGAAATATTTAGTGCGGTAATAGGTTTTGGTAGGATGAAAGAATGGTGGTGAGAAATTATAGTTTTTGTATTTTTAACTGATAATGGTTCCTGGGTTTCCATAATTAGTAATATATAGATGGTTAGGGATACATGTTCTGATGCTTTTATTTGTCTTGATCATCATTTTTTATTCATTGGATCTTCCTAACATTGATCTTTCTTTCATTATTTGTGGTGTTTGTGTCAGTATTCATCTTGATTTGCTGGCATGATGAAGATTTTTTGACTGTAGAGTGAAGGTTTGCTTTTCTTTGGTCAAGTGGAAGTAAAAGAGGTCTCTGGTGGACCTAATTCTTGTACTTTTCTAATGAAAAAGTTCATGTTGGTCTATAAAATAGTTTAACTTTAAAGATTGTTGGAACCAGGACTATGAAGTCATATTGCAAAACAGATTTATTCTGTGCCACTTCAATTGATCTTTGATCTCTCTTACAAACTTAATAACTGGGGAAGTTGATTTTGATAAGTGGGGATGATTGGCAAAATAGGTTTTATCAGTACAACTGAAGTTGAACAAGGATAGATTGTGTTAGGATACAACACGCTGATGGACAAGATTCAGTCGGAGAACCCATCTTCCCTCCTTGGAGAGTTTGTATACCATTAAGTGGAGTGGAGTTACGAACATTATATCTTCAATTGCAGAACAATTCTGTAGCCCTTGTTGTGAGTCAATATTTGCTTTAAGTGGACATGCTGTTGAGTGATCTAAAGACTACTAAATGTTTTGCCTATTCTTAAGAGTGAAGTGTTTGAGGCCATTCAATATTTTTAGGATAGCAATGCTCATCCTTTGCTATCTGGGCTGAAAGGTTGCAGGTGTTGAGACATTTAACACGCTGATGGCCAAGGTTGTCTGACATAGGAAGCGAACTAAGAATCATTTCTATCAGTTAGGTTATACTTAACGGGCTCTGGATTTTAATTCTTTTAGTCATTTAGTGAAATTGTCACTATAGAGGCCACTCGTTTCATCATTGCTTTTTGTTTACCACATTATGCTAGGGAAGAAAATGAAGTTGCATACACATTTTGTTAATTTAAATCCTGTGAAGACATATGAATGTTATCAGATATGCAGAACAAAGAAGCTTGAAGATTTCTTCAACAATTTTTTTATTATACTAATTTTGATGACTCATATTTTTGCTAGCCATTGATCACAAGTCCATAAGTATTAGATTTTTTTTCTATTAGTTTAATTATTTATTGAAAATTTGTTAATTGCAAAAGATCCATTGGTTTGCAAGATCTATGCTAATGCAAATTTAATGGAAATATCATAAAAGGCTTCTCTATTACAGTCTAGCTGGGTTTTACAGCATTCCAATCGTATACAACTTCATAAATGTTAGGAACATTAGATGTGAATAACATTTGCTTTCATCAGAAGTTAGTTGTATTAGTGATTATTGGTTTAGTTTTTCTTCAAGTCAGGTCTTGTAATGATTTTTTATACCTCATCATATCTTCAGCAGTTCGGTTGGAAACTATTCTGGCCAGCATATGTTGGGTTCTAATTCAACCTTGACCATGAACTTTTTAGTGTGATTCTATGATTATAAAGTGATTTAGAATTTAGGATTGGCATGTTAAAATTTTGATTGTGACATTTTTATTGCTTCTTCATGTGTGCATTATGTCGCCGGTGCAGTGACAAGTGATCTTAATGCAATCTTGGATGCTATTGGATATCAACCTGCTGTATTTTAAAGGTCTTTCTGGAAAACTTGCCATCTCCATCTCCTTTGCACTAGTTACTGTTTTGATTCTTAGTGCACTTATTATATATATATATATATATATATATATATATATATATATATATATATATATATATATATATATATATATAAGTTAAAAGAAAAAGGCGACGTCCCCTTGTTTTTCTGCCCGCGTGGGGAGAAGAAACGTCACCTCGATGACGCTGGTTTCTTCTCCCTACAGCGTCGCCGAGACTACTTCTCCCCGCACGGATGAGGAGAAGTCGTCGAGGCCTCGTCACCTCAGACGAGGAGGAGGCGACATCTCTGTAGCAGGTGGTCCATATATCGGTCTGCTGACGGATCGGTACGTACCACCTAGTATGGGCGGTATTATTAAAATTAAAATCCTTAGTCAAGCTAATAAAATCATGCTCAACTTAATGAAGTGAGTTCTTTCTGGATATAATTTCCCTTAGACTTGAGGGCCCGAAATCCTTTATTTTTGTTCCTTATATGCATTTCTCCTCTTTTCCTTTCGTTGGATGAGCATTCAGATATTTAATTGATAGAGATAGGTGCACTTTGCAGGTTTGTTCTAAGAGAATATTGATTGGGCTTCTTCTGTTTGCTTTAAAGAATTTTCCCTGCAATGAGAAGTGAAAGGTATAATTTTCTATATATATATATATATATATATATATATATATATATATTTATATATATATTTTTTTTTTTTGTAGTACTATCTAGCCCACATACCAAAATTTCAGTAACAGCATGTTTGTTCTTGTATAGGAACGTCATGTTTGTTAATGTAGTTGTTTAGAGTCTAGACCACCTTTTTTCTCTGTATCTAAACTGTTAAATTAATATTGTAAACCTTCCTGTTTAATTAAAATATGATTTATCTCCATATGTTAGTCTAACTCATCGGCAAAGTATCGCCTGGTTTCCCCTGCATTAGTTGGTGCAAGAAAGTATACATATGTGAACAATTAAAGGTTTCAATGCAGTATTCATAGTTTCTACTCTGCAGTTACTGAGTTGTCTTCTTTTTCCTTTTTCTACTTCAATTTCATCTGTAAAAGTTGTCATTTTCAGAAGTCAAAACAAGGTCTCAACACGTAGGGCTAAGTTTGCATGCATTAATCCTACTCGGACCCTTTCAATGGTGGAGCCACGTACACTGGGTTCACCCTTTTTGGTTTAACCTCTAATTTGAGGTGATAGTTTCTCTTTATATTGATTTTTAACCTATGATCAAAGACGAAAGAAAGAATTGATCATGTTCTATATTCTGCAACATGTGAAAAACATCACCATGTTTATTCATGAATGTTATTTAAGAGATGTGAGGATATGCCTTGTTTATGTTCAAACGTGTATGAGTTTATACTGGCTAATCTTATAGCTCAATCTCCAAAACTTTTGGTTCTTCGGCACCTCAATCTATTTTTCTATTCAGCAACTCCTGGAATACCAAAATGTGGTATTATGTCTATTTCCCATGCAATTTAGGTCTTAGCACCTTATTAATAGTCTGAATTCTGATACTACATCTGATGTACCTACGTTAACTTATGAGTATTTCTAGAATTGGACAAGTGTGTATATAAATTATATAAATGCTACTGTTCACTGTGATGCATCCCTGTGTTAGCTCGATTGTTGACATCTCAAGTACAGATCATATGGCTACCAAATTTCCAACTTTCGCATCATCCAGTGGTGAGAACCTGAAGCAGTTTGCATTGTGCCCACTGCTTATAGGCTTTAGGTAACCTTTAGGCAGAAACTTTATGTTGTACAGCACCAGAAAGACCTGAACTCTCCCACCACTTGGAATATGATATTCAGGTTTTGCTTTCTATAAGTGTGTTACACGGGATCCATCTTGCACATGATTTTAATAGCTCATATTTGACCCCCAATTAGTTCATATCGTTTTTCATTCTTCCTAGCATCTAACCACATCAATTGACACCACTATTTTGCCATTTCTCATGAATTAATTTCGTTTGCTTCCAGTATAGTTGGTGTCCGAATCCAAAATTCTTCACTTATCCAGTTGACTGCAACCAGTGCACGCTTGACTGTTTCTCTCAACTGGTGCTTTTTCAACTTGAAATTCCATGCTTCTTTTATTAGTTGAAGTTTTTAGCTTGTTCTCCTTTATGATATTTTTAGCTTGTTCTCATAGATGCTTCAATATTGATTATAAGAATCTGGTTACCGTGGTTCAATTTACTCTTTTGATGGATATTTATCGATCTTGTCTAGTCTTCCATTTCCCGGAACATTGTTGTGGCCAATATCCACATTTTTTTTTTGCTTGTCCTTGCGAGGTATCTGTAGTAATGTAACCTAGCTTATTGGGTACTGATGGAATCCTCCAAGATATTTTCAAACTTTGAAGTTCAAAGCATGGACACCTTGAAACTTCTTGTAGGGAAATAGTTAATCAATTTTTTTATGAAAATTCTTGCCTTTGAGGGTTGACGATATTTGATCTTTTTGTCTGATGCTTGTTGAAAATATTACAATTTTTTGTCAGTTGTTGATATCTCATAATTAAAACTCAGCCTATGGACTTCTGAGACTGATAGGAACATGGAGAATAGCATGTTTATCTGTTTCTCTCCATAATAAAAGTGAACAATTCGTTTTATTAGCACTACTTATGACCATTTTACACTAGTGAACATGAAGTATACTTTTGGATCCTACTCAATTTTTTGATATGTAGTAAATTCAGAAGGATGTTTTGTTCATAATTCTTGTGGAGATGTGTGCAGGATTTAGCATGAATGATCTCATGGTTTCCTTCTTTTTTACTGATTGCTGTCATTTCAATAGGGTTATTACTTTGTGATTGAAATGGGCAAAATAGCATTCACGTGACCTGGTCTCTGATGGGTTCCACAACTGGTTTGTTTTGGTGAAATGCCTCTACTCAATCTTGATTTTTCCTGCAAGGTAGTCCTGATGACTTGCTTATATTGTTAGGCCATCCACTTTTCGATGTGAGGTACATGCTTGGGTTGTTCACGTCCTCTTGATACTATTATTCAGGGTTCCCATGCTGTTTTTAATTTAAAGAGAACTTATTTATTTCCAATGCCTACTATTTCTTTTTTATATCAAAAGCTAACCTGAAATAACTGTTTAATTGTATGTTCTATTATAAGTTTATAACATGACATGCATTAGGAGTGATATGCTAATAGTTAATTCTATTTACATGTTTTTCTAGGGCACATTGTTTTGTGCATTTACCAAGAAAATAGTGTGAACTATGATCAACCATCAAGATCATTGCTAGCTTGTACTTGTAGTAGGTTACCATATTGACTGAGCCTAAATTTCTTGTTTATCTCTGATTTGTCAAATTTTGCGAGCTTATTTGTTTTGGGCTTGCAAATTGACTTCAGATTTAGTTACACAAGCATCTTGTTAAATCAGCACAGTTTTGATTGATCGAGGAATGACAACTAGTTTTACATGTCGGATGTTAGAATTTCATTTAGCTGCTTTCTCCTAGGGCTGCTTATGAGATTGAGTGCAATATCTTGGGTGACCAAGGTAAGAAACCCATTTACCAAAAGTTATATTCACCAATACAAGTCGCTTTTTGGATGTTCTTCATGATACTCAATACATTGAAGCTAATGAGTTTATCAACCTGCATAATATATTAAGCTGGTTTTGTAAATCTTGTGGTCCAATCATTTTAAACTAATATTGTGTTGTTTATAGCAACTAGAGGAATGTACTAAATTGATGTGTATGGTAGATGACTGCTAGAGCACATCTAGGAAGGGTATGATTTTATGCTAGTGGGTGTCATTAAATGGTCAAACACTGAACCATCACATGAAACTTGTACCTTGACATGCTAGTGAGCAAGATGCCAAGGAAAACACTTGTATGCTTCGCTGTTTGCAGGCATAATGAGTAATTCATTCTGATTGGGATTTTATTTATTGTAGCATCCTTTGGTGTTGAGTCATTATGGGAATATTTAGTGATTTCATTGTTTATTTAAAGCTTTGATTTGTTGAGATCACAAGTAGCTTATTGCAAACTGTAATGGCCGGTGATACCATGCAGTTTCAGCACTAGACATGTATGTTCTAGGCATGTGAACATCCTGAGAACTACCATTAAGATAACTGCTACGTTAAATTGTGGACAGGACCTATTAGACAAGTACAGCATCTCTACCACAACATATGAGATGCCACACTTAATCCATTTATTGGGATTCCATTTAAAGTAGCAAAAATAAAGTTGTGTAGCTTGTTTGATTTGCAATAATGCACTGGATTATCATATTAGGATTACCTCTAACCGATTCTTATATATTTTGTGTTATTAATCTTTTTTTATTTTCCTAAAATGTTAGCCCTGTTGTTAATAAAGTTGGAGAAGACATTTTACAGCTAACAATGATTTTAGTTGTAGTAAACAAATAGCATAGGCATGTTGGTGGCTTTTGAAATGTAAATACTGGAGACACAATCGTTTATAATTTTGTCATGTACATTGCATTTAACATACTGGTGTAGTTGGTAATCCACAAAATACACTAGATGAGTCTTGGAATATATTTTTCTGTTGTAGATGTGCCCAGTCAACGACTGTGATTGTTGCATAGTTTTTTATGAAAGCAGGAAAGTTAGAAATTGAAGTATGCATTTAGAAGCTTTTCCTCTCAAAAATGAAATAGTTAATGTAGATAGTTCAAAATTTGGCAATGAGATTGGTATTTATAAGAAGTGTTAGGGTGTTTGGTGTTGAATACTAATCTTTGATAAGTCCAGAAAGTTTTTAATCTTCAAAAGTGTTTTGGCGGCCCTTCTATAGAGCATGGATTTTTTTGGTGAGACCAAGCAGGTAGCTAATTGCCTCATGTAGCTGGTGCTTGGCTGTGTATGATGCTTTATGCTTGAAATCGATCATTTTCTTTTATAAATATAAAAATAGGGGAAGCAACATAATTCATTTATGATTCTCTAGAGATGCCAAATTGTGGACTCCTGAAGCTTCTTGATCCCTCACCAAATCAAGTTGTTTCCAAGTTGTTGTTCTCAGTATAATAAATGCCAATTACTGTCATTCTTCGTTTTGTCGGGCCAAAAATTGCCTACGAAACCTGAAGATAATATTTGCAAAAGCATGAAATTTACTGTATTACTAAGCAATTTCTTGTATTACTAGTCCAGAAGTGTCATATTCACTTGTATTACTAAGCAATTTCTTGCGGGACTTTGACGCTGTAGTGCTGGTATGATATATATATATATATATATATATATATAT